TCAATCCACAGCGAAGTGTTAATATAGAGACCTATAGTCAGCAACTGGAACGTTTAAATCAAGCCCTTCATCAGAAACGCCCTTCACTCGTCAATCGAAAAGGTATTCTTCTTCTTCTGCACGACAATGTAAGTCCACATGTAGCACGTTTGACGCAATACAAGATTATGAAGTTGGGTTGGGAAATTCTCCCCCCACCACCATATTCTCCAGATATGGTACCATCAGATTACCATATTTTCGTTCGCTGAAACACCATGTTAATGGAAAAACTTATGCAAATGTGGAAGGTGTTAAAGAAGACATCGACATGTTTTTGCTTCAAAACCAAGTGATTTCATTAATCAGGGCATTAACAACCTAATTGTAAGATGGAAAAGCATCATCGATAAGAATGGAGACTATTTCATTTACTAAATGTTTTGTTTTGATATATAAGTTGTTCGGGTTTTTTATCTAAAAAAAGGCGACATTAATTTATTGACTATCTAATAGACAAAAATATTTTCCATTGGCAGGTCAGGTGGTACCTTGAGGTTACATTGTCCCCTATTTCATTTTGTTTGTTTGTTTTAGGGCAAAGTTACACTGAGCTATCTGATGTGTCCACTATAAGGAATCACTCCGGAATTTAGCGTAATAAGCCCGTAGACTTACTGTTGTAAGTAATGCTATACTAATTCATTAGGGTCTATCTAAAATCTTTACACATCCAGTAAAGGCACTGTTCTTTGTTATACACTCGTCATTAAGATTTTTTGTATTGTATATTCAATAAAGATATTTTCACACTGTATCCCAGTGTCTTTCTTTCTCACAGCTTAGTCGGGACCGAAAATATAGATTTGTTATTGCAAAACATTTTTCTGGAGAACATCCTGTTATTCTTGTGGATCCTACCCGATTGCGTAAAGAGAAATCAGTGTTTATTTGTTTGTTTGTAGTTATGTACAAAGCTACACAATGGGGGCGGGGCGGAAATCAGTGACCTGATAGAATTAACATTAAAGCACAAAGCTAAATTTTTACACCTGAAACATCTATCTTACTGATACACAGACATAAATTACAAAAATACCATCCATACTTTATGGAAAATTCATAAGAAAGCTAAACGTCTAGGTTTAGATTACCTGAAGTTAAACCGGAATGTTGCCTTCCTTTCAGTTATTATATGAGACATTGATTTAATAAGTCTTTCGTAATAAACGGAACACGATTGCTTGGTTTTCATCAAATGAAAGCTTCAAACTGATTGTAGAATGCTTTGTTGTATAAAAGCTCTAATTGGAATGTCTGTATAAAAATATATTCTATACGAACGTAGAAGACTCTGTATTTTGTTTATTAATATTGTATACACGCTTGATATACAAAGTCAGTATATAAAGACGTCAAGGGAAAGAGTATGACACGTATGTTACATATGTTTATAACTTGTATACTGTTTTCTACTAAAAAAATATGTTAAGCTTTGTAAACACTAACACACACACACACACACACACATAAAAACAACAACATATGCTCAGAAAAAAACTCTCATACCACCAACAATAGAATAACATGGGATACCTTTTTATTTTCTGCGGGCCTTGTTAATCTAAACCAATCAAATACCAATGTATCAGTCCGTTAGTTTTTCGTGTTACCTATATTACAAGTTTATTCATTGTAGTTGTTGTGCTTGATAATTCCAGGTTAACCTGGTGAAATATTGTTACCATACATATTATACTCTGTGTATCCCATAATAAAAGCCTCCCAGTGGCACGGCGGTATTTGATCAAAACTATAAAAGGGTTATATGAATTAATAGAACATAGGAAAGGCAGTTAGTCAACAACACTCACCAATAACTGTTGAGGCTAGTCTAATCGAATTGTTGGATTTGAGTATCACTCTTATAACGCATCAAAAGGAACGATTCGGTAAGTTATGGTGAGTTTAAGCACTTCTGTTTATCTGGTCTATGTTTTTAGTAGATACTTATCAATCGGGTTATCACCCATTATTTCTGGACGCTGTTACTACATCATGGTTTTTCTTTTGGCGAGATCAAGATTTTCAGAAATGGGAGGGTTAACTTAGTTATCTATATCTAGCACTCCCACCCCCAGTGGCAGTATATCTGCGGACTTACAACGCTAGAATCCGGGTTTCGATACCCATGGTGGTCAGAACACAGATAGCCCATTGTGTAGCTTTGTGCTTAATTACAAACAAACAAATCGATAATAAAAACGTTTTCCAGGTGCAAAGCTTTGTATAAAATAAAACATCAGTATAAACAAACTGTTTGTGTTATATGAGACGGGAGAACAACAGTAGAACACTAAATATACAATCTATAGTGAAACAAAATGGACACAAAACCCCATAGATATTACATACACTTCACCAATTATAATAGACCTAATGGTCTTTCTTTGGTTTGCTGACCCAAGTTGTGCTGATGAGCTCTGAATAAGCGAAACTGCAGTCTACAGCAGAAGATACAGCCAATCAAGGAATGCATTAGGCCTCTACGTCACATAGGCCTTACGTCACAGGTTCTCTTTTTTTTTCAATTTCGCCGCTGGTAAATAAGGAAAGAAATCTTTAACATATATACACTACATATCATAGCTTGAATCCCAGGATATAACTATTTGGCGTTAGAAGTAGAATTGAAACAAAACATTTAGCAGAGGTCTGGAAAGTTGCCAAGATATGGACGCGTTTCAGAAACTTTTAAACAGATGGGAAGATTTAAAAACAAAACAGAAGAGAACATATTGGAAGAACGCGAAACACTGTGAACGAAATAAAATACAACCACCTTAGGCGATGATATATATATATACAGAAGAACGGAACTAAGAATGTAGCCAGAAACTTAGAGGTATCAAAAGATATCAAAAATGCAGAACATATGACGTCATAATATACCGTATAAACAGCTGTTGAGTAATTTAGAGTAAGATTTTGAAGTCGCTCTTACACTTCGAAACGTAGGAGAGGATCAAGGAAAAATAATAAGCTGAAGACTTCAACGTTTCGATATGAACAATATTCATAATATACCGTATAAACAGCTGTTGAGTAATTTAGAGTAAGATTTTAAGGTCGCTCCTATACTTCGAAACGTAGGAGAGGATCAAGGGAAAATAATAAGCTGAAGACTTCAACGTTTCGACATGAACAATATTTTATCCGAAACGTCGATGTCATCAGCTTATTATTATTTTTTTATCCATCCTTTGCACCAGAACTGTCAGTCTAACGTTGTGAGGAAAGAATCACACGAACCTAAAATCTGTATACATAAGAGGCTAATGTCCATCTGTCCGTGCCCCCTACCTCCCCACTGGCACGGCGGTATGTCTGCGGACTTACAACGATAACGTTCAGGTTTCGATACCCATGGTGGGCAGAGCACAGATAGTACATAGTATCTCGTGTTAAAGGTCTCACAACATGCTGTCCTGACAAAGTTAAATCCCATACAATAACGCCAGTTTTCTGCTTAGCTGAAACTTGGACAATATTAAATAAATTTCACATAAGTTAAAGCATCATAGTGGAACACGGTGACGAAAGAATAATGTCAGTGATAATTTACTTTCATGTAAAAAATATAATTGAAATAAACCACTTATGTAAACGGTTGAAACTTCGCACAAGTTTTTTCAACATCATAATTATGTTACAGTTCCTCAGAAAGTTTTTTGTGTAAGAAACAAGTCAATAACAGCTTTATATCGCACCAAAATGAAAAATGTTTTAAAATAGAATCCCGCTAAAATGAAAAAAGAAATAGGACCTTATTTTATCCCATTGTTTCCTAAATCGCTTCCTTAATGGAGAGTTGGTACATCTTACCTATTTAATACTGTAGATTAATTTTGTACACTTATTATTATACACGAAATTAATGTTGAAATAAAACTCTAAAATTATGGTAAAGCAAGTTTTCCTAGTGGAGAATCATTGTGGTATTTCAGAAAAAAAGTGAGTTTTTTTTTCTGTTCCAGTTCGACGAAGTCAGAAGCAATTTCGTGACAGAGAAGCACACCGTTCAGCTCACCAAGATCCTGATCGAACAGACAGAGAAGCACACCGTTCAGCTCACCAAGATCCTGATCGAACAGACAGAGAAGCACACCGTTCAGCTCACCAAGATCCTGATCGAACAGACAGAGAAGCACACCGTTCAGCTCACCAAGATCCTGATCGAACAGACAGAGAAGCACACCGTTCAGATCACCAAGATCCTGATCGAACAGACAGAGAAGCACACCGTTCAGCTCACCAAGATCCTGATCGAACAGACAGAGAAGCACACCGTTCAGCTCACCAAGATCCTGATCGAACAGACAGGGAAGCACACCGTTCAGCTCACCAAGATCCTGATCGAACAGCCGGCCGTAGTGTGGCGTTTCTGCTAGTATTTACTAAAGCTTCACACTTAAATAGACGTTTCAAACCTATTTGAACTGAACTATTTATTTTATACTCTCTGATCTAATAGGTTTATACTTTCTGATCTAATAGTTTTATACTTTCTGATCTAATAGGTTTATATTCCCTGATATAATAGTTTTGTACTCTCGGATCTAATAGGTTTATATTCCCTGATCTAATAGTTGTATACTTTCTGATCTAATTGTTTTATACTTTCTGATCTAATAATTTTGTACTCTCTGATCTAATAGTTTTGTACTCTCGGATCTAATAGGTTTATATTCCCTGATATAATAGTTTTATACTCACTGAACTACTAGTTTTGTACTCTCTGATCTAATAGTTGTATACTCACTGAACTATTAGTTTTATACTTTGTTTTTGCTGTCAGCTCTTTAAACTCTACTTTTTAACATCCCAATCATACGTTTAATTTGTTCCTTAATATATTGACTTTCTTCTTATTCTTCTCTCATGCAATTTAGAATAAATATAGGCAGCACGTATCGATGGGCTTTAAGAAATCGAATAGTTTTGTTTGAATTTATACACAATGGGCTATATGTGCTGTGCCCACCAAAAACCCGGTTTCTAGCGTTATGAGTCCGCAGACATACCGCTGTGCCACTGGGGGTGGGGGCATTTCGAATAGGAGTTTCATCTTGGATCTTTTTATCATTTTTGTTGTGAACATTAGTGGTCTTGTTATTAGAAGCTATTCTAAGTTTCTACATTCGAGAAACACCAAACCTCCGTCCGTATACATAAGACAATTGTTTCGAGATAACATGAACCATTAAACATTTAAAACTGAGCACATAATATCCTCCTTTAACAACATTATTCGAGTAAAAATCAGGCTAGCTGAGACAGACGCAACTGCCTGAGGTTGGCAGGCGCCGTGTACTGAAAAAAAACAAAAAAACAGTCATAAGTCACATGATAAAATTAGATTTAAAGGTGACTTTGAAACACATGAATCCTCGTAGGGATCGCATATTAAAAATAAAGATAACCATAACATGTATAAGAATTTATTATTCAAAAGATTGTAAACTTTGTTAGAAACGAGTTAAAAAATTCATCTTTCAGAGTTTATCAGCACTGAAAATCAATGCATCTGATAACAAATTATATATATAAAGTAATAAAGTAATATTATTACAAGCAATAGATTTCATATTTCAACAATAGGGAAATTAAATTCTCGTCTTTTATCCAAAAATGGCTAATTACATTCCACCTTCTGCATCCATAAATAATGTTTACTACGCGCTAATGTAAGTTCTGTGAGGCAGATTTCAGAAGGACCAAAACCTATATTCTTATGTTTTAAGCTACATTTTATAATTACTTCTAGGAATAAGAAAACAGAAACAATAGAATAAGATGGAGGCAGTATTAAGACATTGAATTAAAATATATCGAAAATAAAAGGGGCGTATGAACTAAGTATCTTCATAGTTATTGATACTTTAGTTTAAGATATTTAAAACAACGCAAATAAAATGGACCAAGGTTCGTTATCTGTATTGAATACTTGATTAAAGCCACATATTTAAACTGAAATGACATTATAATCACACTGCTATGTGCTGATAAAATATTTTCTTTAAATATGTTTTTCTTCTTTTTGTGTATATTATCTATTTAAAATATCGCATAAATCGACACGAAACGTCATTTCATCATAGTTAGTACGGGATATCTGGTTTATTGTTATTGTTCATTTTATGTGTTGCATTAGAACTGAAAACATACAAAATTACCAAGGCCAATCAACGTTTATTTCACATATATATATATATATCTTTATCATTAGATAACGGGAATTTCCCTTGGCTTAGTAGCATTCTATCGCAAAGAGTTAGTATGTTGAATTTGGTATAAAGATACTCGTTGATTATCTGCGCTGTATAAATATTAAATAATGTCTAAATTACCTCAGGCGTTCGATATTTTTTTTTACTTACAATAATAGCCTTTATACAAAAATACGTCAACATAAACTGGAAGCTTCTTAAAATTACACTTTTTATTGTTTACTTTACTAATAACAGATTTATTAAT